GGAGGGATGGTTGGGTCGTGTGGAATTTCTATTCTCAGTTATTTGAGGTCGCTTTCCACAGGGGTTGTACATATTCACAGCCCCACTGGCTGTGTATGGCAGTTCTAATCTCTCCACAGCCTCTCAGCATTTGTTATTTTCTGTTTCTTCACATGGTGGCATGGTGGGTTATACATCGGGGCTGCTCACACTCTGAAGGAGAAAGAGGAGACTTTCTACTTCCATGAAAAGTTACAGTCTCGGAAACACGCAAGGTCAGTTCCACCCTGCCTGTGAGTGCTCTGTGAGTCAGAAGTCACGTGACGGCTGTGCGGTTGATTTTGGTCATCATTGTTGCTGTAAGGTGGTATCTCATCATTGCTTTGATTAAATCTCCCAGCTGGCTCTTGATCATGAATAGTTCTTCATATAGTTGCTGGCTATTTGGTTGCTATTTTTGGTGGACTGTTTATTTGTGTCTCTTGTCTATTTTTAAATTGTGTTATTTGGGTTTTTTCCTTACTGAGGTGTTACGGTTTGTATAGATTTTAGAAACTAGTCCCTTGTCCAGTGTGCCTTAGTCAAAAGTATTCCCACTCTGTGGGTTCTCTGTTCACTCTTTTGATGAAATCTTATGATGCGCATAAGTGTCGTATTTGCAGTATGTCTCAATCATCTATTTTGTCTCCGGCTCTGGTGCCTTCATTATATTTGATAATGTATCTGTGCTGTGCAGTATGGCCCTTAGTTTTGGCTCTAATTTCTCATTACGTATGGGTTTTATCTTGAGTTCGTTTTTGTACATGGAGTGAGCTATGGGCTCTGTCTTAATCGTCTACAGATGAAGATCCAATTATGCTAGCACCATTTGTTCCAGAGACTACATCGACTCCATGTAAGGTAGATGGGCCTTTTGTTGAAGATCAGTTGTTTGTAGGTGGTTGCACAACTCCTGGGTTTCCAGTCTGTTCCATTGGTCTGTGTGTCTATCATTGTACCAGTACCAGGCTGTGTGTATGTGTGTGTGTGTGTGTGTGTGTGTGTGTGTGTGTGTAAGCTCAATCTCCAACAGGCGTGTGGACCTTGCCAACCCGTGTCTCACCACCAAGAGACCCTAGTCACTCTCTGGCTACCTTTAAACTTAGTGGCACTGGGTGTTTTGATGCTAGACAGAACCAAATGGACCTCGTTGAAAAGAGGGATTCCAGGCATTTTTTAGAACGTACTTTCAGAGTGACACTTAGCCTTTGGCCGCCTCACAAATGCTAACCATGTTCTCGGAATCAATCAGGAGTTTTAATTTGTGTCTCTGATAATTTTTAGCTGGGTTCTCTTTTTGATCATCTTATCTTGTGTCACAAGATCACCGATTCTCCAGTTCCAGGGTGCTTGAAAATCACCCAGCAGCTTGAAAAACCTGCTGAGGCCTAGGTTGTGCCCCCCAAAGTATGATGATTCTGAAAATAATCTAGAATGGGGGTCCAGAGCCTGTACACCAAACAACGTCCCAGCTGACTCCAGTTCAGCTGTTCTGTGGGACAACATTAGGGAAAGGATGCGAGGGCAGGTTGATTGAGAGTGCTTTATCCACAGCCGTGGGATCTGGTGGTCAATATTTTACTAAAACATCGACAAAGTGCCAAATGCTACAGACGTTGTCGAAGCACCAAGCAAGCCCCCTTCCTGGGGCCTGAGAAATGTAAACTGTGAAAATTCCTTCTCAGGCTTTTACCCCTCGTTCTCCTTTTAACCTCTTCGCAGCATCCGTGCTCTGTCTTGACGGTGGTAGGAGTGAATTCTGAGTCACGGCACCCGTGCCTATCAGAACTCAATCCCGCTGGGTCCTGCGCCGTCCTCCAGCGTCGTTATGTTTGAGGCTGCTATTGCAGCCGCCGTGTTAATCTATCTCCTTGGGGGTCTTCCCCTTCCTCATTACCCTTCCACTCTACCAACCAGGATGTCCCTTTCTAGGGACCCGTCTTCTCTGACAACACGTCTGAAGTATGTGAGGCAGTCTCGCCATTCTTGCCTATATGGAGCACTCAGGCTGGATTGTTCCAAAGCAGGCTCGTTTGCCCTTTTGGCACTCGATGGCCCTTTCAATATTCTTCACCAGCGTCACATCCCAAGACATTGAGTCTTCTACAGCAGCAGCGGTTCTCAACCTGTGGGTCGTGACCCTCACAGAGGGGTCGCCCGATTCATCACAGTAGCACAATTGCAGTGATGAAATAGCAATGAAAATAATGTTATGGTTGGGGAGGCGGGGTCACCACCACATGAGGAACTGTCTGAAAGGGTCACAGCGCTAGGAAGGTTGAGAACCACTGTTTGCCGGTCTTCTTTCTTCAGTGTCCAGCGGTCACATGCGTAGGAGGCCATTGCAAGCATCACAGCTTGGGTCAGGTGCCCTGAGTTGCCCTGAGGTCACAGCCTTGCTCTGCAACACTTTAAAGAAGTCGTGTGCACAGCAGCTGTGCCCCAGTGACATGTCATTTGATGTTTTCCAGGGCTCCTTCCATGAGCATTGATTGTGGATCCAAGCAAGAGGACATCCTTGTCTACGTCAATCTTTTCTCCATTTACCATGATGCTTCCACGGGCGAGCGTTTGGGTTTTCTTTACACTGAGTGGTAATCTATACTGAAGGCTGCAATCCTTGAAATTCTTTGCTGCCTCCCCTAATTGAGACCATTCACTCAGGCCTGACCCTGGGCTTTCTGCTCTTGTTTCTACAAACTCTGTGCCCTTCGCGATGCTCCTTGGTTTTCCTGCTGTGAACTGTCAGTTGCTCTTTCATTCATGCTATGCCCAGCACCACCACAATTGAACACACCCAGGTCTCTCACACGCGGTTGTCCTCTGCTGCTGCAAATGGTACCAACCCTCTCCCACTTGGGCCTGAGAGTGTGGGTTTACCTTTGAACCCTCTCCACTGTGCTTCTCTACATCCATCTGGTCCCCAGTTCCTGTCGGTTGTGCCCCTGAACCCTCGTCACTTTCTCATCCTTTCTGCCCCCATTGCCATTGCCCAGCCAAAGAGCTCATCTGCTCATGCCTCGGTTTCTCTTTGAACATTTTTATCTCTTTATTGTACATCTTTTCTTGTAAATGAGGTGGGGATGTGAGCTTCAGATCATTGACTCTGTTGTAGTATTAAATTAAAGATGGCGCGGTGGGAGGTGGGGGGCCAGCCCCCACCGCTAATACTCCTATTACTACTACTCGGATTCAGTAATGCACAATTGTACGGTTGAGATATACAAGTATTATATTAGAGTCATCGAGAGCATGAGAGAGATTACAATAATACAGTCAGACACGTTACATGGCAGCATTGCTCACCTCAGCCCAGCTTGGTGGTCCACGTGGAGAGAGGGGGAAGGGAAGGAGGGCAAGGGAACAAGGGAGAGAGGACTGGAGAGGAGAGGGGGGAGAGAGAGTCAGAGAGG